ATTAAAAAAAAAAAAAAAAAGAAAAAGGGAGAGGAGAATGTACAGGATTCTAAAGATTGGAACGCGACACTATTGCAGTTCGCGTTGCACGAGCCGCAGTTTCCAAGATTGTTCGGCCAACGGTTCGCAGATGGCGGCCGGTGGTTGGTATTCACAAGCTTCAGCCCCGCCCATCTAATTTCAGATCCAAGATCCTTTTCGGTGGCTTCGCCGAACGAACGAAGAGATCAAAATTTTCGAAGATTAACCACCCCCTCCCCTCCCCGAGGTTGCGTTAAACTCTCGCGGGGAGCGGGGAGTTTCGATTAAAATTTTCTGGGGAAACGTCAAATGGAATCCTATCCTTTGAGTGGAACGGGAAACTTGGTAACGTAGCTTCGAATCGGAGAATAATTCAATAATCAATTCGATATTAATATCGGAAAGATATTGAGAAGAAATCGTATCCGACGATACGAGAAATTCGAGGATGATTCATCGATCGATCGAACAAGATTTCATTTTGAAAAAAAATGCTTTTCTATAAGCACAATGCGATTCAGTAATTTTTTTTCTCAACGGAAGAAGCGAGAATAAGAAATCTGTGGATACGCATCAGGGAAGAAAGCGTGTTTGAACCGATTATTATCTTTTCTGATGAAAAAAGGAAAAATAAGGAACGCGTTACGTACGGAAGAAGGAAGAAGGATCGTTTTATCGTTCGATCGTGAAGCGTGCAGTATATTATTACGATCGTGAAAACTGACGGCATTATAATAAACGTGATTTATCATTTTCGCGGACGTTAAAAGCGTTTCTCCCGCTTTTAATTAAATAAAGCGACGAGTTTCGGTTGACTGGTGGGAAACAACGGAATCACGTAGTACTGGCAAGGTGTGCCAGCGTGCACACAGAATATATCCCTACGGGGATGTCACGAGTTAGGAGATCTGCGGGAAATGGATACGATCCTTTTGTTTGCCGTTGAGATTCCGTTGAGCGGAAGGCGGAGAACAGATGTAAAATGGGTGTAGCTTAATGTAACTTAAGAACTAAATTATCTCGCGCGAATTACGGCAACCTAATAACGGGACGATCCCGGCCCATTAATTCGCTAAACCGAATTTCGAAGAATTCTCGTTGTTATTAGGGATGGTGGAAATTTCATCGTTAATCATCTTTCGCGGATATTTATGAATATTTGCGAAATTTAGAGAGGAAATGGAAATTATGGTTATCGATAATAATGAAAAATAGAATAGGAAAGATGGTTAGCAGAGTGATGAGTTGGACTCTCGTTCGAGATATATTCGAGAATCCAGTTGAGACACGTTTGCCGTTTTTTTCCATCTATCTGTACAAATTGCAGAGATATTTTGAAATTCGCTCGTACGGAGAGATAAGTGACGATATAAAATAATCGTAAATATGAAGCGTGAAAAGAGGGGGTCACACGATGAAAAAACGAAACATGAAAAAAATAATGGAAAATAGTAGTAGAATAGATAGAGAGAAGTATCAAAAAATAAGTGTTCGCGCATGAGAGATTAGATTATCATAGTGCGTATTAAAAAAGAAAAGGAGCGTGTAATATAAAAATTGTATATTTTTTAAGAAGAATGATATCTGCTCGATATCTGAAAGGATTCAGAGCGTGATTAATTAGAAATTGGAAAGGAGGGGGATGGATTTCGAGTGTATCTCGAAGACTTATTGCAGTCGCAAGTGGAGCAACATTAAGCACTGTCCAAAATCCTTGACGTGAGACTTGGAACCGCCTTAGGCTGCGTCAAACAAGTTTCCCTTCTATGGCGGGAAAGTTCGAGGGTTGCTTTGAGGACTCGCGAATCGGGACGATTATGAGTTTGCACAACGTGAAGCGCGCCAACGATCGACGGTATCGCGGAGGGTTTAACTTGCTGCTCAACCCCGATAAATATGGGCCATTTTAGAGGAGGGTGATATCATACGTGTTATCGAATGAATGAAAGCAATACGGGAAAAATTCATTTCTCTAATGTCCTAGAAAAAAAAAAAAAAAAAAAAAAAGAAGAAAATCATCCTTTTTTGCAAATGGAATCATTTCGAAATTGATGAAAAAGTATCGACACTAAATTCAATCAGTGGCTTATATATGTGTACACATGTGTACGTTCCGTTTCATTTCGAAAAGTTGATGCTGTAATTTATCGATTAAAATGTCAATTGATTTAAAATTGGAATGCCACCAGAAGTATTTCGTTACACGTCAAAAACTACTTGATCGAATCAATTTTCATATTCATCTATATAGTAATAACATCGTCAACGATGTGTCACAACGGTTTCGCAATTAAATCTCCACATTTTTACGTGCACCATAACATCTTCGAGACGCTACTGTGAAAAATCTGGAGCTTCGATTACCCTCGACAACCTTACCCTAACCTTAAAACCTAACAACCTCGATCTTTCGTTCTCGTTTTCACGCGACAAGGAAGAAACGTACCGATTCTCTTCGTCCAAAGAAAATTTTCATCCGAAGAGGAAGTTCGAGTCGTTCGCACCCTGTGCAAAAATCTCTCCCTTACCCTTCGTCTTGTCGGAAACGCAATCAATCACGTTCCCCATCCGTCCATCGAAGTTCCTTTCCCGCGAAATGCTTTTCTCTCTAAAAATTTATCATCTCGATAACAACATTTCTCTTCGTCGAGGAGGGAATTAACTCGAAGAGGATAAACGACAATCATCGGAATATTAAGATGGGTTGACTATTCGCACGATTTCGAATAGAAGTATCACCAACTATCACATTCTGTATCACGTCGATCGAGATCTCTCCTCTCGAGGAAATACCTCGAATCACAGGAGGGGAGGAAAGAAAAAGTGTATCACAAGCGTTTATTCCGGTCGCGGAGCTGTAATTCTCATGAGCGAGCGTTGCCCCACCGGGAGGTTGTTATCACAAGAGAAATTACTTTCAACTGGAAGAATCACGCCCCCGTGTATTTGCCAACTTGATGCGTGTGTATGTGTACGTGCGTACACTATTTCGGTAAGTTAATGCTCGTGGTAAATTTAAGCTTTCAGAGGAAAGTATAGAGAGGAGAGAAGGAGGGAGGGAGAGATGGGGAGAGGGATTATCTTTTTTCAAATCTTTTCTTCCATCCTCTTTCCTTTTCCTTCTCTCACTCTCCTTTCTCTTCTTTCTTTCTTCTCTTCTCGATCCTCGGTTCTTGCGT